TAAATATCACAATGAAGTACATTTTTACTGAATGAAGTAGAAGTATAAGGTTTTCATACACGCAATATTTTACACGATTCTTCAGATTATAGAAGTATCATAAGCATAACAAAATTCAAGTCAGTTCATAATGCAATATATGGTATGTAGGTAATCCGTTCACCCGAACAGAAACTTGGTACGAAATCGAAATCTATAAAAGCGTAATTATGTTATATAGCAAAAATTTTATATTTAATATAAACACAAGTAGAAATTTCTTTTGAATAGTCATATACGGTGCAAGTGGCAGCTTGCCTTGCAAGCAGACCCGCTTACTTCAGTCTCAAAAATTTAACCCATTGTCGCTTTAATAAAGCAAACAATACCTGTAATACATACACTAGTGATATGAAATGAGACTGTAGAGTCGATGTGCGCTTTTTGGTGAGTACGTGTTACTGATGGAGCAAATCCGTAATACTCTTTTCTTCCTCCTCTGTCTTGTAACTAGAACAATAGTCGTTTGAGGGAGCCTCTAATTGGTTGGCATATCTAGCAATAATACAGTGTTCCTTCAGAACGACGTTTATGGCGTAAATAAAGTGGCAAACCAGTTTAAACAATTGGTTGAATCATAGGTGAACTATATCATATGTGTAGTTAGACAGATGTAACATCATTGGTTCACAATTTCAAATTGTTTTGTAGGTAAAAACATTTTGAGTGAAACTAAAGGGATTTCTACATCTAATATAAATGATTATATGTAAAGCCTCGTGCCGCATAAAGCAACAAAACCCTTAATACCCTAAAAATTGATTAAGCATATACTATACGATGACTGTGTTTTTTATTTGTATTTTTCATACTCTTAGGCTGCAAACTACTTTTATTGACTGTTGTAGAAATTGTGAAGATAAGTAGAAAGAGAAACAGTATAACACTCCGGTGGTAGCTATAAATAAGACGAACTTCTTTGGCGAATTTCTTGTAAACTCTCTCACAAAGGTGTTCTACGCTAAAATTAAAAGCATCCTGCGCTTGATAAGAGCCTTTTAGCTCCAAAATTAATACAATTAAGATCCCGTATTGAACATTAGTATCATAAGATCGTGATTAATCAGATCAATTGCCAAATTAACCTAACCTACCTAAAGATCATAGGTAGAAGAATTATTGTACGGAGGTCCGTTTGTCGGTCTGGGTGTCGGTCACATACTCGATTACTAACATTACTGAGTCCTTACATACACTTTTATATACGAATAATTGTTAACTTGGCTTATTTTTATAAAATTATTAACTACTGACATTGATGATTATTTCTGTACTTCACGTATTTAAGACTCTAACATAATTCCTTATTGTGTGAACTGCACATTCAGTTGTGTCTGGACAAAATGATCTAGGTACTGATGAAAACATTCATGACTAGTTAGAGTTTGGCTTTTCTTCCATTTTATAGGTACAATTCCTATAGCTCAGATTTTTTGCACAATCGGGTTTAGTGTAGATGTTTGTGTTGTACTTAAACATTTCTTCAATTTATATGTTGGGTGGCTGAAATGTGGTACTTTATATGTGGAAAGCGGTTTGGTGCTGAAGTTTTTATAAATGTAACAGTGCCTCTTTGGTACAAGCATAGTGTCTCTTGATTTTTTGACGAGTCATGTATATTTTCTAATCATTGAAGTTGTGTATTTTTTTTAACCATGAAAAGTATTAGATCTATCTCTAATCAAAGGAATTTTTGGTTTAAGGACAATGTGTTGTTAAGGATAATTTGTTGTTATGGTTTGAGATGTTTTTGACTTTTTTCATATACATTAAGCAACATGAAAGAAAGTTGGCTCGAAGCTCTTATAAGAACTTCCGTACTTTGTAAAATACTGGATTGTACTTTACACTTATATTTCAGTGTTTTAGTCTCGTATTCATTGTATTTGTATTTGTACGATGTGCTTTTTTATATTGCAGCGTTTATGTAAAGTTTTCGGTGATAGATTTTCAGGTCTGACGGTTTCACTATCAATCAACCAATAATCTATAAACGATGTCATTGCTTGAAAGTTCGATCTGAGAACTGCCTACTTTTGAAGTAATATTAACAACATTTGTTACATTATTTCGAAATTTTTTGATTGATGATACTCCCATTTCGAAAACACGAAAGTAAAAGCCATTTCACTATTGTTAAAGCTGAAGAAAGTTATAGCACTGATTAGGTTAGGTTAGGTTGGAGTGGCGGCCTTGTGTTCCAAGAAAGCCCAATTGATCGCAAATAATGGCCCGTTATGGTTTCAGAGGAAAGTGATGGTTCGCACATAGACTAGGTGGTCAGTATACGACTAACACCGAAAGAAATCAACGACTCCCCAATAAGGTGAAGGTAAACCAATATGATAGTTTTATGAATCTGACTAGGTCCCTAATGTTGCAGGATGACAGCTCAGTTAGATCGGTGAAGAAAGGAGCCCCCAAGATTTTTAATCTTCTTCTAACTGAAAATGGGCACTGACACATGAGATGAAACACAGTTTCTTCCTCGTTCTCAGAACCACAGCCGAGACAAGACCTAGTCTCATAACATGCCTCTCTATTGTGCAGTGACCCGACAGCACAGATACCTTAGTGCTGAGCAGATTCCGCTTTAGTTGAAGTAGCTGGCTGGTACGTTTTTTGTCCAAATTATACCAAATCGACCTAGAAATCTGACAACTAGATTCATCAGCCCATTGTTGCTTTGCTATGTTTAGATATTTTTGTTTGATTACCAGTTTTGCTGTTGCAAGTGGAACGCCATTATCTGAAAAGTGAACGTCAAGGCGAAGAGCCCCTGCCTTGGCAAACTCATCCGCCCTGCAATTAACCGATATGCAAATAGCACTGATAAAACTTAATGATTTTGATCAGGGCTGTTTAGACCACATAAGATCGCGGGCCAATACAAATCACTGAATAGGTTGGAGGGTCGCTGAAATAAATACATATGTTCGTAATTTTTCTGGAGAAAAATAAAAATACGGCGATAATAATAAATTAAATTTTATTAATTCTATATTAATTTATATTTTACAATTCTATCAATATCAACATTATTAATATTAGTTGTTGCCACATAAAATATATTTCATTTTTAATGTATTGACTTACTATGCTGGATACTAATTTTTTGAACCAGTTGTACAAAGAAATATATACCAAAGTCTTTGTCAATTAATTAAATGAACGTGAAGTGTAATAAATTACTTAACATAAAACATTTTAATTCATTTGGGATACCATACAAACAAAATAATGTAATGTTATTAAAATATATTAAAGAAAAATTTGCCTAATTGTAGTAAATTAGAAACATGTAACGCGGGCCGCACATATATTATCCGCGGGCCGCACATATATTATCCGCGGGCCGCACATATATTATCCGCGGGCCGCACATATATTATCCGCGGGCCGCACATATATTATCCGCGGGCCGCACATATATTATCCGCGGGCCGCACATATATTATCCGCGGGCCGCACATATATTATCCGCGGGCCGCACATATATTATCCGCGGGCCGCACATATATTATCCGCGGGCCGCACATATATTATCCGCGGGCCGCACATATATTATCCGCGGGCCGCACATATATTATCCGCGGGCCGCACATATATTATCCGCGGGCCGCACATATATTATCCGCGGGCCGCACATATATTAACCGCGGGCCGCATTTGACCCGTATTCCGCGCTTTAGACAGCACTGATTTAGATAATAATTATTAGTTAAAATATACAAATTAATTTATTTACCTAAGCGTCTTTAAACGTCTTTCTTGATACATATAAGAATTAATAGGCAAGTAGGTAGAGCTAATTGACTTAGATCAGACATTGACCTATTTGATTTTTAATGATACCGGATTAGTCTGTAAAGGCAGGTAATGAATGTACCTAGTATTTGGGATATGGTCTTTATCATTAGCGATTTTAGTAGCTCTTGGTAGCCTGAAAGAATTTTAGTAGTACTTTTGAGAAAACCATATATAAACAAAGTATAAGTTCCAATTGGATTTTATAATTAATGACGAATTTTGCTAAATCATACAATTGTGAATAGTAAAAGAAAAACTTTTAGTGCAAAATTTTTGATATTTTATTTTCTGTAAAACCATAATACATTTTTACCTTTTTACCTCGTATGTTGAAAATTTAACTTATTTTAACTTATCCATGTTCACATAATTTTTGCATACATGATTGATTACAGTTATTTTATCATATTTTATATTAACTGTTGCATAATATTTGGCTTTAATAAAGATTGCACTCAATCTATTTTACAACTCAAAGTTCTTTGCTCGTTTTCACCTTTAATTTTGTTGGTATTTTTTTTTTTAAACTATAAGATTATTATAAAATAGCCATAAAATTAGTACATTAAGATTATTAAAATCTTTCAAGAACTTACTAGTACATATTTATAGTTTACGCTCAAGAATTCATTTGATTATAAATTAAATGATTTCTTAGAAGTGAACATTTCTTTGCTTTAAATGATGTGAAAATTCACAAAAACACAATGTCGTAATGAATTTTAGTAAAGATGGGCAATGATGCAACAATGAAATATATTGTAAGACCGTAAATTGTTTTTGTTCAGTGGCTTTTCTTAATGAAATGGACTATAATGAAAAACAATTGATTGATCAATTACAAAAAATATAATACTAAATATTTTTTCGTTTTTTAAAACGAACAGAATGTTTACGGTCTGTTGAAAACTTGCCAAATTTGAGGTGTGCTTTGATTATAGATTGAGTGCATGCAACACGTATTTTTAAAAGAAACTTTGGATGAATTTTTAAATGGCAATAAATTATAATTTTCCACTTCCAAAATAAACTTAATTAAAATTTAAGTTTTTTGTAGATTTTTGTTGTTTTTAGGTGGGATGGATGTCACTAGGTGGCCCAACACCAATTACATTAAAACGTGTACCCAGCAGTTCACATTAACTATTAAGTGTAGAAGTTGTGCTGAATCGGAATTGTCATTAAACAGTTCAATTGTAGCATAAACTCGGCCATTCCACATGTCATTGAATATTTTTGTTTGTTAAACTTTTAGCGCCGACTGTGTGTTTTATTGGAAAGTTTCTTTGCCCTAATTTTTGTCATATGTGACATAAGCAAATATGTGCCCGGCAATATCAGCAATAAGAGATATAACTTCATAAACAACGGCATATTGAATGTTATATTCCACTTATTTGGCATTTGCAGTGAAAAACGATTGGTCTCCTCGAAGTATGGTATATTGCGCAGTATTATAATACCTTCACATAATATGCCCATAGGGTAGAGAGGTATCCATATTGTGTAGCGTAGCCATGTTAAAATAGTTGTTTCATGGCGAACTAACTGTGTTATGTAGTAAGGATACCTAAAAGAGAAACAATTAATTAAATGGCAAATACGTTTCAGTTATGATTTACCTTATTACTTCAATGACGGCCCAGATAACAAATATATAAAACACAACTGGTTTGGTTTGCATGCGCTCTTCCATTTCAATCATAATAAACAGTACGAAATTACGTCCTGATACTTGGAAAAATGGTACAAGAGGACTGCCTTTAGTGTAGCCGAAAATTGGATGCAGGACTTCCAAATATTGCAGTAATTGGCAGAACTTCATAGCACTGCCTACGGATTCGTAGATTTTAGTCATACAGCTAGGTCCGTCGCGGTAGTATAATACTGTCATAACACACAATATGTACAAGAAGCCAACAAACTGGACTAAGTTGTAAAGTATCATATACACTTTTTTGCTGCTTTCTGTAAATGTTTTTTGTAGGATATTAAATACATTTTAATGAAAAAAGCTTACCTTTTATATAACCAAGTTCATCTTTTTGTAATTTTTGGAATTCTTGTGTGTAATCTTCTATAACATCGCGAGGCTGTTCGTCAAAAAAGTCATCTTCAACACGCCAGCGATCAAAATCGATTTTTAGCCAATGCGGTTTTTGCGGTGTACCTATGAGCCTCGGCCACCACCCCTTTTCGCACTTTTGCATGTAAAATTCAATTTTATTATCGAAAACACGGCATGTGCAGTTCTAGAAAGTTGTGTTTTTCCGTTATTTATAAAAATACAGAGCAAAAATTTAACAAATCAAACCTCATCATTAATTAATGCATAAAAACTCAAATCAAATTTGTAAGTGTTGAATCCACGGGCACCGTAGCCCTCTGCAGAAAACGACAATGACTTTGGAGTAAAATCCACAACCGGCGGCTATCTCAACATATAAAAATATATAATCTCAATTTACATTAATGTAAGTTTTCGGATACCTTGGAGTCTTTCAAGTCCACTTTTAATGTTAATGTTTGTTCCGTTTGTGCCCAGTACACTAGCGGGCTAAAGGCATGTGAAGAGTCCAAAAGGTTGTCGGCCTTGGAGTTGCTATGGACACTGCCTTTATTTTTATCAAAATCGTTATATGAATTCATGTTTAATGTTTTCTTTGCCATGGATATATTTTCACATGGGTCAGTCGTTCAAAACTGTTTCAAAATATTTAGTTGAAATAAAAATTAATATCTCAGTTTACGTTTTCGCACACTTTTCATTCCTACTGGCCAAATCCATAACTGAAACAAGTGACACACAAAATCTGCAAGAGAAATACTTGTGCTGCAGTCTGGAACATGCGCGCTTCTAGTTGTCATTTCAGTGGTGAATTTCAAACTGTAATTTTTAAAACTGTAATTTTCACAAAACATAAAGGGATGAGCACAATGAAATTTATTTTTGTGCATTAAGTTGCTTATGAATTTTATTGACATATCAAGAGGCGCTAGGTTTAAGATTTTAAAAAATTGAAATATACAATAAATAAAACGTTATTTTTTATAAAATAGTTTGTATATTAAAATTAATTCTGTTGAACTGTTATTGGGTGTTTAAGTTAATGAAAAGCAGTACAGTCTTTATATAAAATGCATATAATACAACTGATTTGGTGTTCTTATCTATATACATACATATATGTATATGTGTGAGAAATGTGTTCCTTAAAAGTTTTTTTTTTATTAATAATCTTAAAGTACTTAGTGGAATTGACCATGTCATAATACCGCTTTTCCAAATTGAATTAGTTCGTAAACATATTCCCATAGGTTTGAACTTGAAGATAAAGCATATGGTGACAATTCCGATGAACAACACAACCGTTAATAATAAAAAATACTAATTAGTATTAATACTACTTAATACCATAAAAATTCTAAAATAAATTGGCGCTACATATTAGGTACGTCACTTGTGTTGTTTTTGTGCTTTACATAAAAAGTCTCTATAGGTATTCTTAGTTTTTGTCAAAATATTGTAGTAATATGATAAAAGTATATTAACAGCAAAGTACTCATGCAACAGTATTAACTCAATTTCAAATTTTATATTAAACTATTGTTTAGCGATTACACACATTGTAGCTGAAAGAAAAATTTAACAATATAGCAGTTTATGCAACTCAAGATGAAGACGTTTATAATATACACTTGGTGTCACCGATGTAATTTTACAAGCCTTATATCATGTTTCCAATGCAACTAAAACTACTTATTTTAATGAAACTCGATCGTTTTTATTGGTATAAGCTGATTTATGTATGTGAAATAGTTTGTTGGTTTATATATTGCATATTAAATATATAACAAATATATCTAATTTTGGTAATTTTTCTTGTGAGTAATTTATTTTTAAGGGTTATATGGCGTTACATTGGTCGATAATGTGTTTACATTCGTTTGTTCTCATTTGAAACAGCTGATTTTCAACTTATTACTTTTTGGGATGTAGAAGTTCTAAAAAGGGTTGCATCGTCAAAATACCATGAAGAGCATTTATTCTTCGTTCAATGTATTTCTTTGCGTTTGTAACATATTTGAAACGCATGCGAACGACGTTGGGACCCATTCATATAGAATGTGACGGAATGGCTTATTCGCGCTTGAAATTTTAGATGCAAGAGCCATTCGCTTCTCATTTTCGATTTTTGACTAAAATGAACCATTTTCGGCCAGTGTAAATGCCGTATTACATTCGATATTGTTCGCCTTGAATCAATTGATTTATTTATAATGAGCTCATTTATATAAAAGCTCCTTCAATGGTGAATTCTTTTCATTAGTGGCTTTAATGAAACTGCTTAAATAAGACAAGTGGAAACATGGTATTATAAATATTTAAATACCAATGATCGTGTATTCAATTATTCGTAAATGATTTTTTGAAACTTTTAGTATCAGGAATCAAACTCGTGCCCTGCCATATTTGAAGCTCAGAGTCAGTTAAACATTAATTAAAACTGAGTTGAGTAAACAGTTTTGATGTGAGCAGAGAAATCAATTTCATTAGTTTAATTACTAAGTTAGCATCCTATTAGTTTTTTCAATGCTAACAGAATAATAAAATACTTTTATATAATATTATTGTTTAATTTACTAAATCACAGCTAACAATATGAATAGGAATCTAAAAAAAATTAAGTTTGTAGGAGAACGTTTACGCATTTTCGCTAAAAAACATAATAATCAAGGATCATTATTATTAGTATTATTATGATTATTATTGTTAAGAACTTTAAAATCATATTTTAATCATATTTATATTTTAATATAAATTTTTATATTTTTTATTTCAGCAAAAATTATTTACAGTAGTTTTTTTTAGTAGTAATAAACATCGAAATGTGGAACAGTTTTCAGGATGTCTCTCATAACTATGGAAAAACTCATACATTCGAAAAAGTCAAAAGGTTAAAGAATATTGGATTTAATTTCTTAATGGAATAAAATGTGAGTAAACTAATTATTTTTCCAAGTATTTAGAAACAGAATTGCAAAGTGTTAAATACGTATTTTTTTTGCTTATTTGATTTTATGTTACTGTATTATAATTTTTAAACTATAAGTTATTTTTTAATTCGAGAATTGTTTTATCCCCAATTAAAAATTATAGATATATAAAGTGTATTAAATATTTACTGATCTCTATTAGTATGAAGTATTACTGCCAAATTAAAATTGTTGTATTATTTCAACGTTTACATCTTACGACAGTTTTTAAAATTCATAGTCTTAAAATGATTATATTATGATTATGATTGACATTGTACAATGCGTCTTATTTATACGTTCTCATGGTCTTTATACAATAAAATTAACCAAATGCAGTAATCCCCTTATAACGCTGTAGATTGGTTCCTCGTTATAGGAAAACGGGTTATAGGTGTATTTCCGTATACCCCGTTTACACGCGTGTAAAGGTACGGCAAGCTAATTATGAACTGTACAAATCCCCGCATTATATGGGGGAATGTTATTCAGGGGATTAAAAACGCGTTATAAAGGTATTGCGTTATAGTGGGGATGACTATACTTACATATAAATATGTATTCCATCGTTTTTATGGTCGCTATTTTAACGCAATTTAATTATTATTCAAAGATACTCTGAAATAACACAGATATGGACGTATATACTTTTATATACAATACTTCTAACAGCGATCAACTCTATATTTCAGTTAAGATGTTACTTTCTTAAGGTGTATTGATTACAGTTAAATTTTTCGTCTTAATCGATTAGACTATAAGAGTGTCAAGCGTGAGGATTAAAAATAGCAGTTTTCCTATCAATATTAAACTTTATATTTAAAAAAAAAATAGTTTTACTTTAGAAATTCGTTCAATTCGTTTTAATTATTTTAAGTGAATTATTTTGTTTTGTTTCGCATCCTAGGTACATCCTTTTTTTACTGATCTGAATACATTGTATATCTCTATGAAGTTAACCCTTAATCGTTTGATGTTATCTCGATATATTTTTGACTTGGGATCACGTTTAATCCTCTGTTTTTCTCTATAACGTATGTTTTTCATATGAAATTCTCTCTGTATAACTTAGGTCATGAGTTAATGTTAATAAGAATAACCAAGTGAAGATATTAATAACAATATATTAAAAGTTTTTTTAGTGTTTTTTAAGACTGCTTTTTGATATCTGAAATAATAAATTCATCAAAAGAATAGCTTAAGATTGCTGTACTTTACATAAGTTTGGAGAAGCTTATGGATATTAGATAGTTAATACATTTATAGTAATTAATTAACTTACGAGTATTAATATTGATTAATATTATATTAATCAAGAGAGCTCGCAGATCGATTTCGCAGATCGAAAATCAAGAGAGCATGGCTTGAAATGTCAACATAAAAGAGACCCTCCTCGAAGTAAAGCGGTTCCGAAGGGGAATAAGCCTCGCTGAAGAGGGGGTGTTTTAGTCCATATACTACATATTAATGTTAGAGAGTCGGGCACACCATTCCGATGATGGTTGGTTTGACGGTGCATAAAGCATACCACATCCTCACCACAACAAAACAAAAAAAAAAAAAAAAACAATATTATATTAATTAATATGTTTGTATAAATAGATCATTTGATCGATAGTGGCTTTTGACATAAAACCATTCCTACGATTTAAGTTAGAAACTAAATTATATATCAAAGTATCGCTTTAAACCTAATATTATATATAATAACCTTATATTAAAATAGTGGCAACTTTTTTAAGTAGATTCAGATAGCACTAATAATTCTACAGAGAGCTAGCCGATATAAGAAACGTACTCAATAAATTTGACATTAAGTTTTATATTTTGATAAATATACCAGTTGATGGAAAATACTATATTTCCGTCTGATATTCGAAAATTCTTTATGTGAACCATTTTAAGTTTTATTTGAAAAACTGAGTGTCATCGATTCGCAAAAGATCTATCATGGTCGCAGTGCTTAATACGTTAATACTGAATATATACTTTTTATAGAATGAGTAGGTAATCAATGCTAATTCTGATGTATATTGATTATTTAATCAAATTTTGCTAAAATAACTTAAGGTCAATCAGATGTGGTTTCTGTGTCAGCAATCAGTGTTGGCATTAGTTTGCGCTAGCTGTTTAGTCGATAGCATCGTAGTGGAATGATGATGTCACCTAAATTTAACAAAAGCTTAAGAGTTACTATCCGTAACTCCCAAGATAAGATAAAACTCTATTTTATAGAGTTATTGGTATATATACACTATATAAGTCTTTTTCATGAAATATCAGCTTTTAGGGTATGATCTAGTTATTACTCAACTGATTGGATATAAGATTGGAAATATTTCTTTTAATTATCATTGAATTGACTGTAAGGTGACATGTTCACAGGACTCTATATCCAAAATAAACGTACTCCATGTATAAAATGTTGAACTATTTTTGAAACAAAGCGTAAGAGTGCTATTTCGTATATTATGATTCTTTTGTGACTGTTAAATAACTGTTATTTTATTTTTTATGATTAATGCCGTTTGGAGGTTCCTCAATTACAATTAATATCTGCATACTTTGTTTGGAATGCCTAAATAAAGTTATAGCGCTTGCTACTACTACTTACTAAAATTCGAATTGTTTTTTTAAGGATATACTAGACGACAGTACGATATCTAAAAGTATCAATACTTACATATACGAGCAGTCTTTAAAAGTACTTTGTACTTGTAATTGCACTCATAAGAATACTTCAAAAGCCTCGACACTTACGATACTTGTGCTAATGAGTTCCTTCGGACACTACAGTTATTCACAAATG